GGCTGATTCCTCGGTAATTGTCGCAATACGTCCCTTCACCTTTCATAGGAACTGGAAGCAGAATTGCTTTGCTCCAGTCTTCTGCTATTATTCGTTTTGCCATACCAGAGAATACATTTGTTGAAGGTGAGTCATGAATGGACAACATTTAAAGAGATCAGCCAGAAGACTATCTTCTTCGGGAGTTTTATTGGCCTTAAGCTTATGGATTATAGACGTTATTTCTTCTTCTGTAAGCGAATCGTAGTTGCAAACGTATGGCTCGACGAATCAGTTACATTCGGGACAACAAATGGTGCATCGTAGTAAGGTTTGATCTCAAAATATTCATTTCCATCTTCTGTGGCGATCTTTAACAGTTTGAATAGATAGGCACTTCATCAATATTACTTCAACACTTCAACCAGATTGATTATATCTTAGTCAATCGCTGTTGGAAGACTTCCGTATTAGGCAGTCGCTCTTATCGCTGAAACGGTAAGTATTGATGGATCTATGTTATAGCTCAAGATGATCCGCATAAAATTGACAACTCGCGAAAAATAGCATCTCCTTTCAACTAATAGCATCTCAAATTCAGGTGAAGTGAGCGCATTTCAAACCGAATTATTGAAGCACTTCAATGATATAAATATCAACGACTTTTCTGGAACAGCAAATGAATACTGGTCCAAACTAAAGGAATATCTTCGAAAGTTAGCGCTAAATAATACTAGTAGGAAGTGCGCTAGTTAGGTATCGGAAGCAACTGTCAAACAAAGCTGTCAACGCCCGAATGTCAAGTGATTCTGACTACCTGATGCTTCGAAGATTTGCAACGAAAGCAGCGCAAAAGTCACTATTAGAGTGACATGGCCTTAAGAGCGGAGAGGCTGCTCGATTAGACATTAATGGGAAACTAATCCGCTTTCTTGAAAAAGCAACTATAACTCGGAGAATGATCAGTGAAACGGTAAGGGATAGCAATGGTGTGCCTGTTAAAAGTACAAATAATATATAAAAGTATTATTACTTCATAAGATGGAACGAATTTTTGAGGCCAAACTTAACCATAATGCGCCATTTGTTGACAACCTGGACATAGCTGATACTTTCGTTGAACCATACGTTTGCAATTGCTAACCGTCAACAAAAGAAGAAATAATTACTCCGTTATTCATAAGCTCAAAGCTAATAAGACTCCGGGAGACGGTTTTCTAAACACTTCAACTATTAAAATGTTTTAACGTTTTCCATCGTCCTTTATAACGTACCTTCAACAAATGTACTTTCTGATATGCAAGAAAGAAATATTACCAGATGACTGCAGCAAAGCAATTCTGCTTCCAATTCCTATGAAAGGTGAAGGGACGTACTACGACAATTACGAGGGATCAGCCTACTAGTCGTCTCAGAAAATTTTCACTTCTTTTTCCCTTAATAGACCTACGGGACAACAGGATGCGCCCTAATTAAACTAAAGATTCAGGGTCGCGATTGTGTTGATACGCTATGGCTGCCTTCGATCCAATTTATAGAAGAGCGCTTTAGAGGATGACAGAGTGCGACGGTATTCCAGAGAAGATCATTCGACTCATTTATGCATTTTATCAGCATATCCTGGCTCAAGTCTGTGTATATGGGAAACTAACACACTCTTTCGAAATAAACTGGTGTCCGTCAAAACTGCGTCCTTTAACCTATAATATTCAACTAAGCGATAGACTAGATAATGGACATTGCTTGTTGGCACCGAAGAGATATGCAAATCAATCCAGATCATAGTATTACAGGCCTTAAATAAGCCGATGATATACTTTTTGCTGCCATCATGATGAAATGCAAATAATACTAAATAATATATCAACAATAACAGCGAGAATCGGATTCAGGATCAATGTAAATAAAGTGAAAGCCTTTTACAAATACAAGAAGCTGAGGAAATGCCTCTTTTTATAATTTCATCGCCAGTTGAGAAAGAGCTCGATTTTAAATACCTTGTTTCCACTTTAATACCGAATGGTCAGGCAAAATTACAACCAGGATAAAGGCAGTTAGAAATACGTCTTTCCGGTTGACGAAATCTTTATGTAGTCATCGCGAAATCACCATAAAAACGAAATCTATGAAGCTAAATCTATATCTATATAGCGATTCGTCCGACCTTGCTAAATGGCTGTGAGAGATATAGCCAATGAAAGTGGAGAATATTAAGAAATTATCTGCCTCTGACCAATTCTTCTAAGGTACAGTCTAAGGTACATTTTGCAATTGTTCAGATCTATGGGATTCATTCTGTCCGCAATGCTACTGAAAGATTTTCCAAAGTATAGCTGTTGTCAACAAAGTTCGATTCATGCTCTTTCAAAAAATAAGAATATTCCATGCAAAATTTTAATTCACCTTTGCTCTGAAATAATGCAGTTATTTCAAGAATAAATCTACTTTATCACACAGAAACAAATGTTAATAAGAATAATTTAAATTTAAATTGTGATGTGATTACTTGATAGGTTTTGGGAAATTCATGATTTTTATTTCGAAAGAAAAGCCAAATTCTAGTACACATTTTAAATTAAATTAAGCGTTAAATTTGAAATTAAGCATGAATACTTTGCATTCAGGAATAAATTTTGAAAGAACATCCACATATGGAAATATTAATATCGGATGAAGTCTGATAATTTTTTACAAAGCGATTCATAATTTTCTCATAGTTTAAAAAACGAGTTATTCAAAAAAATGGTATAAATTTGATCTTCTAAATTTGGTCTTGAGCAGCCTATAATTGATTTATTGCTACATTTAGACAAATCCTTAGGGAAAAATTTTCTACCAGAAACTAAGTAAACTTTTATTAAATACTAAAGGATTAAACAAACAATAAATGCAATATCGTTTAAATCTGCCAATTGCTATATGACAGGCAAATTACCCTTTCTTTTCAAAAGTTTAGCGTTTTATATAAAAATTCGAAAGGATTCGACTAAGAATCTTGCTTATTTTTTTATTAATAACGAAATTCGTTGCAAGGCTAATATTATAAGTGAGAGAATAATAAATTATTTAAAAGAATTATCCTTTAATTTATTTCCATTCAGCATTCATATAATGTGGTAATTGTCATGAATCATTTCATTTTTTCTTTTTTCTTCGAATATCAAAAGCTTTCATAAAATATAATACTCATTCATAATTTTTTTGCATAGTTTTTATAAAGTAAGAATTGGAAGAAAATTCGCTTCATTTTCGACAAAAAGTTTGCAGAAAAAAATAAATAATACTACCATAAATTTATCATAAACAAGATAACAAAAAACTGGATAGATTTAGCGACATCAAGCATAAAATAGTTCCTTTCTATAATAACAATAATGATAATAATTCGATTTTCAATACTACTACCAGTTCACAGCAACAATTGTTATATTATAACGGATTTATTGCCAAGAAGATTTTAAAAACTGGAAAACTGAATTTTTTTTCATAAACTAAGATTTGTTCTATATTATTAATTTAATGAGAATAGATTAACCGCAGTCTAGTTAAAATCCACTGACAACAGCTTATTTTCAAAGTTTAAGAAAAATGTGCAAAAATCGTCGTAAGAAATTTATCTCGCATGTGCAAAAAATCATTGTAATCAGATTATTCTGGTACCTCCTTTTCTACTGCGTTAATATTTTGGTTCCTTAATTCGACAAATTAAATTACTGTCTAATTAATGTGCGAATCTTTTTTAAAGGCTGTTACTACATCACAAATTTTTATTTTTGCTCAGCTTCTTATTTCGCTAATTTGATTATCTTAATCACTACAAAAAATTACATCTCTTAATGAATTTATTGAGAATATATGCTTAATTGATGAGCATTGCGTGGTATTTTTTTTGAATTACAGACGACCGTATCGAAAATATTCAAAAAATTGGGGTATCGTTGAAAGGTTCAAGAAATTATGAAGACCTTATTGGCTCAAGCAACTACTCAAAATAAATTTTTAAAAAATAAAAAATAATAGTTTAAAATGATTCTGCAAGCTCAAAAGCATGTTATAAGGATCCCAATCTATCGAAGCTTATTTAATCTTGGACTGAACTCACGTCATTGCTAATTGAACTTCTCAACTTCAACTTATTTAAAAATCTTCCGACGAATCATTTCTGGTTAGTTGGCTACTAAAGTGCAACAGTGAGAAGTAAAAGTGTGTCTTCTGCGCTACTTTTGATAAAAAAAAGTATATTCATATCAAAAAGAAGAGATAGAAGTGATGTACTCAGTTAATGGGAATATAATGCTTAGAATTGAATGACATGTTTAGAATTAATTATATAAACGTTTAGAATTAATTATATGAACGTGAATTTGCGGAAAAATTCTCTATAAATTTCTCTATTCTCTATATGTTCTCTATAAACAAATTCTTTATTGTTATTACATAATAGTTATCTAGAATAAAGAGTCATTGTGCAAACCGATAAATAATTAATAAATCATAATAACTCTAGTACGGTTCTATAAGCTTCATAGGAATATACGTAAATAATTGGATTCTTTTCAAACAATCGAAAATACGACTGAAATAATAAATGATTTGATTCTGAGCAGCATGAACGGCAAAAATCTTTAAAACTAAATTTATACAGTTTTTTTCATAGCATAAAGAGTAAGCCAAGATGCTTGAAGATAATACAATCGGCCAAACTGCTTCCCAAATTAAAGGAATAAAAGCGAAGTGGAGAAAATTGGGCAAAACTGTTGCACTTAAAATTAGAAAAATTATGTTCCCCTACATTTCAAAATTGGAAAAAGCGTGTTGTACATTTTTGTTTCATTGCACTTTTGTTTCATATAAATTAAAAATTATGCACTTTCGTTGTTTTGACCAAAGCTTTTCAATCCACAGTCTTTGTTGCAAAAATCAAAATTTTGGTGGGAATTTAATGCCTCGTGTTTGACAGGCCAGCCAGTCAACTTTTACATTCTTTATTAATGAGTTAAATAATGAAAATTGCCATTTCTTTAATCCCTCGCTTTCGCCGTGTAATACATCCAGTACATCAAGTTGCAAATAGCAAATGATATTGGAAATGCTTTTTGACATAGCCTAAAATATAGAATCAAAACTCTACAAATCGCTGAAATCTTTTAACCGACTAATTAATAGGTAATCAATAAGAATACAAATTTCCGTTTAAAATCTTTATTTTTCATTGTTACTGTGACAATAATTATTTTTTAAATGACTTTAGTGAAGATTTGGAGATGAAATCTCATTTAAAAAATGTGGATTGAAGGCTGTTAAGGCTTACCTGTCCATATCTTCACCTGTCCACTTTTCAAAAAATCTCATCTTGAATGCACTCCCCTTTCGTCGCATCTTAATTTTGCGTGGACGAATTTGCGTGAAAATTCGGTTGGGTTCACCATGTGCAGCATCTACAGTTAAAATCCTTGAGTTGTTAGAAAATTGACTACTATTATCGAGATCCTGGGTAGCAGTCAAAAGGTGTTGTTTGGTCCCACTGCTTTACATTCAGACAGTTTAGTCAAAATGCATTTTGTCTTGTATAAAAGCGCGATGATCACTTCGTTAGAATTTTTCATCGTTGAATAGTTAATTTTTACTTTTTAGTAAGGCGTAATTTCATCTTACATGCAGGTACCACGGTTGCCACCCAAGATGAGCGTTTTGTGCAATTCGTGGATTACCGTATTACTGAAGGTTGCCATTGTAACAAAAATAAAATTCATCATCCTCAAACATAGTGTTGATAATTCTAGACTATAAACAAAGGCTATGTCATAATAGGTAATAATCATATAATGCTAACGATGTCAATAAGTATCGCCATTAGCAATATAATTCATTCATTTTATTGTAGAAGCAATTACTTTGATTGGCAATTTCGGATTCTGAGTCATTATATGATTCCTGCGGCGCTGGTTCATGATATTGTACAAAAGTTGTCTCTTTTGTCCAAAATGGTTCCTTGAAACTGTTTTGACAATATGACGGGCCCTCTCCATATAAATGAATGCGTTCCTTAAACAGTTAAATGAACTTATTTAAATGAGAATGATAACAGTGGTGAAAATAGCGTAAGAAATAGGATTATTCAAAAAGAAAAACGACATCACACTACACGACTCATTAAAACGAAGAAAGAAAATCCATCCATGAAAAATAATATTTATAATATTTATTGTATGAAATTCTCTTCAAATATCTATTGAGAGCATTGAATAATAGTTACTTGACTTCCATGGAACAATTTTTCAGAAAATTTCTTCTCCAACATCGTTTTTTGTTTATTAAATTGTTTTTCACTAAGGAAAGAAGGCTTTTTTTTTGAATTATCACTCGGGTTTTCGAGCATCCCCACTATAGCTAATTCTACAATTGACAAAAATATGTATCCAAAGCATCCGAACATAAAAAAGTCCATTCCTTTGACATACGATACCTAAATATTTCTAAATTATGAGTCTATGAGTTTTATTTTCTAGATTGATCATCATATTTTAGCTTCTTGTTTATTAGTAATTGTTTGATCGGGCACTTATAATTAATAAATAAATGTGTATAACACAACAATTATTCAAGATCTGGAATCTATCATTCACTATATTTTATTTTTAAAAATTTAAATTGTTTAAACGAATTTCAATGCTAAAAAAGTAGAAGAACAAGAGATTTTTTTATTCTTACTTTTTTAAATTTCTTCTTTTTTATTGTTTTCGCTCTGTTTTAACCAATTTTTTATTGAGAATATATTTTTTTAATAATAAAGAAAATATAAATTGTTCACCTTGAAATCCAACCCGAAATGAATAATTGTAAAGATATGTTAGAAATATTTGCATTAAAATAATAGTTACGACTTAAAGGATATTCAATTTCAACAAATGTTACTCTCTTTTCAAATTTGTAAGTCGAACCTTTGGCAAAGAGCGGGCAACATTTGAATATTGCAGATTGAGGGCCATTAGCGATGAAACGCCAACAGTCACCCTGGCCGGCAAAGATTTCCGATCTAGCCAAAATGCAATCCATGATATAAGCACCATGCAATAAGCCGGCAGATATACTTGCAAAAGATAAAAGCCATATGAACGACGAAAAAACATCTTCATATTTAACTAAACAAAAATTAAAATGTGCCGTAAAATAAAATAGTTTTTTTTTAGCAACCATGGAAGCTGAAAAACGAGATGAAGCAGCTTCCCCTTTTTATTTTTATTTTTAAAAGCTCTGTCGCGAAACAGCGAAACCAAAAGGCTACTATGGGATCGTAAAAATAGAAAATGGATTCAAACCAGCACTCGCCTTATCAACAAATTAATTGCCGATCAATGATGGATCTATGAAAGAAGATTTACAAGGTAGTTTTAACGAGTTCAGAGCGTCGCAATATGTGGTATGCCAAAATAACGAACCAGCAAAAAAAATACATGAGAAGACGATGACACCCATTAAAAAAATAAAAGGAAGATTGGAAAAGAGCCAATGGAGCATGAAAAATACAAAAAGAATTCAATGACATCGACAAATGGTCTAAAGAAGGATATAAAAGCACAAAGTAGCTTTTTTGTTTTCACTGTTGCGCGACAAGCTCAATTCAAGGATTCAACAATTTAAATAAGTTTCTTATTTGGCCATTAAATTTTCTACGATTATTTTATCCTTTGTAATTATTGATAAATTATAAGAAGAAAGAATCAAATTAGATGATTTACCTGATCCCATACGCCTGCAGGATACTCAAATGTAGCTTTTTCATGAATATAATGAGTCATATGGAAATCAGGTAGATTTGTATCTCCGATAACTTCAACAGGAATCCCATGCCTTTTCCAATGAATCCGGACTTTCCCAACGTTAAAAGAGTAACTTTCGAAGACTATTGTGCACTGAACCCGATCCATCGGAAAAAATGTAAAATCCATATCACATGGAGTTTCAACTACTATACTGAAATTTTAAAGGACGACTCTTAGTGAAATTCTTAATGAAAATGTTTAATGACTATAAGAAATAAAAAGAAGTTCAAGAAGTTCGACAAAACTTGTCCACACAATGCTGGAACGATCCAATACATACAAATGAAATTAGCCGATCGCAAAATATGGCTAACATTATAGCCCGCAAACATGATTTGAAAAAGTCAATTCAATCAAAATTTACTGCATCTGCTGCCAATTAAACGACTGCTTTACTTCTAATTTTAAATTCATATGACATAAACTGTTAAATTCTAAAAGGTTCAATAAACGTAATTTAATTGCTAAATTTAATGGCTCCACAGCATAATTTTCGAAAATGCACGACGTTATTTTATTGCACCCGCTTGAATCTCATCCATGCTCAATTATTGCTTCTCTCACTTTGCTGAATCATTAAATTTAGACGAATTGTCACATATGTTTGACCGATGTTTGACCAATAATGCCTTTCTTTCAATCTACTGGAATTCATTTAATAAATGGATACAAAAGGTATGGGTGCCTCTTTCTCATTAACTGAAACAAACAAATGGAAATGAACCATAAACCATGCTGTAAATAATACCGGTAATTCATCCACACTGTCCCATTTGGTAATATTGCAAGAAATACATTTGGAGTAGGCGACTGGTGAATTGAAGATCCTTTGCTGTTAACTATACAGACGTTAGGTAGCCAAAGTTGATCGACCATTCGATACGGCAATGATAGGTTTGTTAAACACTGTCCTCCTTCCTCTTTCTTCAATCGAGTTTCGAGTTTTCAAAAGTATTGAATTATAATTTAAAACAGTTATCTACTTAAAAAATTAAAATTTATTGAAATTGGGAGTCTCAAGTTATATTGTACTTTATTTTCTGAATTATCAACGTTGTTTAATAGTTTACATAAAGAATCTCCCATATAAAATCGAAAAGAATGCGCTTGCCATCTCATCTCGCTTTATAAATAAATTTTTTTTAAAAAATATAAAGTAGCAGTAATGAGTGGGATTCGATCAAAACTTAAAAATCGAATGATGCAAGATAAAAGATCATTTATTTCCAAAATGTTTGATTAAAAAAAAAGTTTAAAATATATGGTAAAAATATTTTACTTCGAAAGATAAAGCAGGATCATGCCAAATTTGCGAAAACAATATGTCCATTTTTGAACTGCTTTGGATTTCTGATATCTCCGATATCTGCAGCACGAATAAAATAAAATATCAATCAATGAAATACCAATTCAATGACGAGGAAATAACTCGATAAGTTTTTATAACAGCGTAGTTTTAAATAATCACTAATTATCAATATCTTTACTCGTCACTTATTTATCTATGCAAAGCAACAAATATTTTGAATCATTGCATGAAGCGAATAAGCATTTATGAAATTAAAACATTGCAAATTCATTAAATGATGATAGCTATCTTTTTTAAAAATAGGGTTATAAGCAATCCACCAGCATTTCGACATAACCCTGTGTAAAAAATTTTTCGGAAATTATAATGTTTATGAATTTATTTTTTTATCGCCTAACAACGATTGAAAGTTCTATCGATCACATGTGCTCATATGTAAAAGTATATAAAAGATACCTTTTGAATCAACAATTCTACATCAACATCGACTCCTTTCATTTTTGGAACAGAATTACGATCGTAATTCTTTAGTAACTCAGTCAAAATCCTAAAGATTTTGAATCAATGTTTGTAATTGTAAATTGTAAAGTTTCAATTATCTAACTTTTAAATCAACGATTTTTTTTAATTTAGTGAGTAAACCATTTTTACCAAATTATTTATATTGAATTATGAAATTTATATAAATTTATGTTTGCAAATGCATTATGGACTTAAACTTTTCACGAATTGACAAATGATTAGTAATTTATTCAGTTTTCTTTGAATGAATTTTTCGAGAATTCAGTAAATTTTCTTCCCAGTTCATCATGTTATTAGAGGATCAAATCAAAAAAACAATAAACACCTGGTAGCAGCTTGTTCGGCATGACCAAGAACACATTTTTCTTCACGAGACTCTTTAATAACTGATCGAGCTAAATTCGCTGATTAGTTATAAGTTGTAAGTTAGTTAGTTGTAAGTTAGTTGTTTGCTTTCTTTAAGACAACATTTCACGATTATTTCAGCTGCAACGGAATTTTTCTTCCATCATCAGCATAATGCCAGGCTTTCTCTTTCACGACATTTGTTTGTTTATTTATATATCAAGCATAAATTTCGTTTTAGTTGCTTAAAATATTTATCTGGTCTTAAAACAAAAATATTCGCAACTAAATAATATTTGAGAATCCTAATGGCAAGAAAAATAGTAGGAGTTGAACAGTTAAGAGCTGGCAAAATGAAGTTCTTTAAAGTTACACTCATAAATATTGTACTGAAAAGGGTGATATTTTTATAATTAGGTACATAAATGAATAGTCCAGTGGTTATTGCTTAGATTGTTAGGTTGCCATCTTGAGAGCCAGGGTTTCTATCTGACGAGAATAAAACTGTCATCAAAAATTTCTTCACCTTTCACTAATTTTTTTCGTTAAATCCTGATGTTGACGGTCTACTTATAACTCTATCACAAAGTTTAGTAAAAATTTTTCGTAGCCAGTGGAACAAGTCTAAATAGAAAATATTGAACTTACATAAGTAAACAAGGATAAACTTTGTTGGATTTTTTTTGATGTGGATAATCATAAAGAAAAAAAAGAGTAAAACTTATTGAATTACTTATATGCCATTCTTCTATTATTTTTTTAATTATAAATCTTATATTAATTATAAATCTTTCTTTGTTAATTTTAATTTTTGTTGTTTTTGATTTAATTTTTTTATTTAGTGAAATTTTTAGTAAAATTTTTAGCATTTAGAAATTTAGAATAATCATCAAAAATTCTTGTCCAAATACTACTCTCCTAAGTTAAGCCACAAAACAAATGGATATCGTTTGATGAGGTTAAATGGAAATTTTTTTTTAAATTAAAGGATTTTGAATTTAATCATACGTTGACAATTTCCTAAAGAATCTGCTGAATAACCTGCTCGACATTCACAAGCTATTAGGCCGAATTCCAATTCTTTGCAGTAAGATGATCGCAAATCGCATTTACCACAGCCTTAACATATAAGTTATTCGAGTTGTATTTTTTGTTATACTTTTCATTTTAAACACAAATATATTTTATATAAACACATATTTACTCACTAACATATATATTTTTTTAGAATTACATAGAATTAATTATAATTTCTTTATTTATGATTATTTTGACTAGCATTCGCCCATAATTTTGATAACTGTGATAATTTTCTTCGACAGTAATCTCCATCAATTCATGACTTTTATAAAGTTATTGCATTATCAATGAAAGGATCTTGCGAGTTTTTAACATATCTGAAGAGAAACAATCAGTAATTTTATTATTTTGCTAGATTGCCTTTTATATATGATTATGAGTACCAATAATTCTTGAAACATATTAAATAAATTTCCGTTGTAAATTTCGTCATCGAAAGTAAGAGTTCTCCAAATAATACTTTATTTTTCTTAATTTTACTAAGATTTATTCGCTAGGATGCAAATTCAACTATAGAAAAAAGAACAGTTGACTTTGTTGTTTTTGTCAGCAAAAATTCTATGTTGGACAGATGGAAGTGGGTGATAAAAATTGAAAGAAAATCAGAGATGTTGAATTAGTGCTATGATACAACAGATTGTAAAACTTGCTTCAGTGATTTGTCTCGCCAAAAATAATTGCATTTTTACTTACCTTTCATTAATTTAGCTGATTTCATCGTTAATCCTTCAATAACTATCAGTGTCAAATGAAAAAGCATGATCGGCGGAAAATTTATCGAAAAATTTGAAAAAATTAAAATTGAGGCAAACAGATTTTAATTTGGTGATAAAACTGTATCAAACATGATTATCAATAGTCGTGGAAAGCCACGAAAGAGGATGTTAAATTATTTAATATAGGAAATAAATGAAGCATATCATTAGAACAAAAACATATAGGAGAAGCAATAGCCAGTTAGGGAGGATTGAAAAAACATGAAATATTTGCTAGGAATATGAGTTTAACGTTAGAAATAACAAAGGAATAAACAGAACAGTGATCGATGATTCTAAAAGAATTTGCGAGAAGACTTAACTTAATAGAATAGGAAAATAACACAATAATTGGTTGAACAGCAGATATTACGAACCTGCGATGAAGCTGAATTTGATTTGATTTGAAATAGTTTAATCAGAAGTTTAAAAAATTAATATGGAATAAAACAGAGCAATAAGTGGCAATAATAGAGGCATTTTTCCATCAGCAAAATATCTTAACGCACGTTTACTTTTTGATTGACATAGAGATCCGAATGTCAAATCACTTTAAGACTACTGGTGCCAATTTTCGTCGTAAAGATTCTAATATATTATATAATAAAATAAAATAATATTATTAAAATTTATTATTGATCCGTTAATCTCGAAAATAATTAGGAAAAACCTCTGAAACCAAAGCGAAAATAATTTAATTTTGAATCATATCAATACATATCAATATAATCTCATAGCATTTTAATGAGGGAAAATTGGGTTTATTTTAATAAAGAAGTTTTAAAAATGCGTTTAAGAAATTTTACTGATAAGACTTCAGAAAAGATAAGTATTTAAATGATAAAAATAAGTATATAATAAAATGATTAACTGTCCATTTCTGGTTAGCCTCGTCCCTGTGGTTTGTAGAAGGATGCGATAATTTTGCCAGAGAAAAATTTGGAGTTAAAAGTCCAAGTTGGCACTCTCCAACACCATCTGGACTTCGATTTTAATGGGAGTTAAATACCACTAAGAGATTATCCTTACAACCGATAGCCCAATAAAAATTATCAAAATGTGTGATAAATAGCGTCTACTGAAAGAACAGTAAAAGCAAATTTTGAGGACAACTCTTGTGCTCTTACTAATCTTATCATTAAGCACACAATTTCGAAGAGCAACACCCTATTACTTCAGATGTTTATGAATTTCCTGATCTTTTGATGTATCACATTAAGAATCCGTTCGAATATCAGTGAAATTTCATTACTTCGCTACTATGCTACAGCATCTCTACATATAGTAAGTAAATCGTTAAAATATCGAATATTAATGGAATTCAATGCTCTATTTTGTTAACTGATTTGATTTTGATGATAGATGATCGAAGTTATCGGTAATAAACTTTACAAAATAACGGAACTGAAGAAGTTGGCTTTTATCAGGAACACTAAAGGCTAATGGAATAAATATATTATGTTGCATGGTTTTTGTTTTTCAGACATCATTAAAAAATTTTATATGAAACAGTGAGATGCCATAGCATAATAATTATGCAATAATATTTTGAATGAAAAAATCATTTAATGAAAAAAAAAAATTAAGAATCGTTAAGACAAAAAGCCATTTTCAAATGGAGTAACTATTGGTAAAAATAATTCATCTATTAATTTTTTTTAATTTATTCATTTTTGGAAAAGCATCTCGTTCCTTAATTCGACAATCATTTGTTGCAATCATCGGAGTTACACTCTTGACATGAAGGAATGCCTCGGCTTCGTTCACAAGTTTTCCGACCAGCTAGACATTTTGATAATGGATTTGCACAAGTACGTAATGTGAATGGTGCTGCAAGATTTTCCATAATTTTTTATTTAAAAAAACGTTTTTCAATGGTGCAAAGTTATAGATTGGTCAAAAAAAATCATAAGTAAAAATCTAATAACGTCCTATCAAATTTATTCTATAGAAAGTTGGACAGCAAAACTACGGGGTATTCTCGCATCAACCATTTTTTAAATCATTAAATTAAAAGTTGGACAGCAAAACTACGCAGAACAATAACGAAAACAAAATTAGGCAACAAAAACAGAGAATAGGGCAAGAGAATAAAAAATTGATAAATAGACATTCCGAATTTATACAAATACTGACTGAGATAGTGTGGTTGGTGATGATGGGCCCACACACCATGCTGTAACATATTTAAGCGTTTTTATTCTATAATGATCATTATTTCCTCTTACAATGACGATACAATGCCTCAAACAAAAAAGTTTAAGTTTTGTTGCCAAATACCGAATAAGGCAAAAAAAGGCCACTATCTGCAATCTGGATGGAAAAAAACCGTTTTTGTCATGCGATGATAAATACTTCAGTCAATATTTTTTAATTCAATACTTAATTAAGCGATGACGAGAAGAAATAGAAATATCATTAGACAAATTTTCAACTTGAATATTCAATTTAAAATCAAATAAGTTCGTTTGAATTATATATTTTATATCTCTTATTTATTTATATAAATTATAAAATTATTAAAATTATTAAAATATTAAAAATCTGTAAATTTTGGTAACAATTTTCGGGTTATTTAAGGTTTCAAATTATTTATGAAAAATCAGTATTTATGCCAATGATATTTTTCGTAACATTCAATCTAAAAAATCCACCATCTTTTAAATTTTAAAAATTTATGAATTAGGACATCGTAGAACGACTGTCAAAAAATTAGCTTAGCTTAAAAACTTGCATCGTCCACCAGCACATGTAAATTTTTGACAGACAAAATTCGTGGATCCACTTCCAGTAGTATCACACAATTTCGAAGAAAATTTATTATTTGCACCAGAAAGACATGTACGAGCGGTATCTGAAACCGTTATCTTAAATTCAAATACAATCACTTAGGTGTGTTTCAAGTAATGATCCTTTAAAGAATTTTAACTATCAAAAAACTTCAACATTATTTAGTATTTAAATACTATATATTACCATTTAAATAGGTTGAGCCTTTCTAATGAAACAGAGGGCTATTTCATGAATCAGTTTCTTCAAATTGCTTTTAATTAGCTAAAATTAATTAAAAAATAAGAATTACCTATTGTAGATATGGATGAAAGTATAAGGAACAAAATAATTAATATATCAGTTGCACTGATTAACAAGGTTTTCATAATTTGAATATGTCTGAAATAGTTTTTTTATCAAGTTTTTCAATCGAATTGTAAAATATTACGGGTTTTATTTATTGCACTGTCATTTCATCGTAAATTTTACTATACGTATTATCTAATAATTTAAAGTAAATTAAATAAAATATTCAAGGAAGATAAACCAAAGTAATGAAAATTAATTTAAAATATTTTTTCATTTCACTTCTATTCAAACAGTTTACATCAAGCGCTTTATTTGAAAGTGAGAAGGTAAAACATGTATTGGTTTCACATATTCCGATGATGATTGTATCACCTGGTTAAGTAATCAACCTAGATTATTGCCACATATGGAAAAAATGATCTAATGGCCCATTTAGGACTCACGAGATGACTCAAAATTCATTTTAAAAATATCAATTTTTTTCTTAAGTTAAAATGTTTTTTCTAAGTGTTTAGCCTTCAATCATCCCAACACGAAAATGACAAATAAATATTACAAATGAATAAAATAAAATAACATGGAACCATGTCTATTAGAGAAATTATAACCCATCTTATCAGATTTTATCACCACATAAAAGCAATCAATCAAAGTCAATAAAAGAAAATAAATAACTGAAGAAAATGTTTTATGTCAAACGATTTTTCGTTACTAATTTTGATATTTCCACGGATACCTCCCATGTTCTTTCTTTCATCCAAATTTTTTCCTGATCATTAGGCGTAGAAGATGGAAATTCTTTTGAATATTAATATAAGAAATGCTAAGGATAAAATTTAAATGAATAGAGGCGAATCTAAATATGGTTTTATCATCGGTTTAACGGAAAATTATTCAAGGGATAAGACGTATTATAACTAAAATATAATTTTCTTATCATTAATGCCTGGTGAAAATAATAAATCAATGAGTTAAATAAAGCATCCAAAAGCTGATGTGAATAATAAACAAATACTATAACGATGAATCGTTTTAATCAGAAAGAAAGAAACAATAATCTTTCTATAAACAATGAATTATGCTAAAATTCACAGAATTAAGAAAAAAAGCAAAAGTTTTCTCCATGAAATTTTTCTTATTAAAAAAAATATGCCAAAATAAATAAGGCAGCAAAATAAAATAAAAACATTCAAAAAAATTTTAAAAAAATTTAAAAAATGAACCGAATTAAAAAAATCTAATACTAATTTGTTTCTTCCCTCTTTTCTTCATTTATTTTTTCATCTAACTGAGTTTTTTAAATTCATTTTCATCACTTTTAACAAATCGAATTGCGACCCCTTCTGTGTTTCCTTACTTTTTTTTTTCCTTCAACCGGCATACCCAAATAAATAAAGCTTTTCCCAAAATTTTATCTCTTTTCTGAGGTCCCAAGCCATGTTAAGATGCACATGGACGGACCAACAGACCGAATTGAAAGAATCCTACCGGTACCTTATAGTACAACAGCAGAGCATTTCCATTTTCATAATGGAAATGTTCACAACAATGCTCAACCAGTCAGCGATCACTCTGCCAGTGTTTTTTTCAGAAGATACTGCCAATACAGACGAACAAGCAAAAAATGCCTTCTACTCTTTATTTAAATGACATGCATCACATGACATGTTTTGCCTTGATTACCTTGTGAAAACCCATTCGATGAAGCGGTAGCAATTTTAACCTTATTTTTTATTTTTTGATCCTTCAAAGTCTTGACAGGTACCATTATGAAAATCTGTGAAAGAAAATCCGTAAAGATTACATTACTTTTAGAGCAACTGTCAGTAAAGTTTGCGAACAACTTTCATTTAAAGTGTTGTCATAAATTCAAGTTTTTGTCTCCAGATGATGCCGACATTCGCATAAAATTATATCAAAAGATCGAAAATGACCTAATTTTATTATCCATCAGTTAGTTCAAGAATATAATTCACACGACAGTTTAGCCTGTGATGACAGATTAATCGAACAAAACCAAAATGGTTCATGGAACAAATAAAAATGGAAATTCGAAATCAGCGTCATACTAGTACACAAAATATCAAAATCATAATCATGCGCCAAGCCGAAACAATAGGCAAGACATCTGAAAACTCAAGTTGGTTATACGAGTAACGCGTGATGCCCGAAAATGTCACAATCGCAACCATACATGCATAAATTTGGGCATACGTATCGTTTAAAGCGAAAACGCTAGGAATTCAATGGAATCAAATCAGATTAATAATTTACTTACTTCTAGAAAGAAATAAAACCAATTTAATTTGATAAAATGGAAAACTAGTAACATTCTCAACATCTCGACATTCGATTAGATATTACACTCCAGAAAACCTCGGAAAGCCATCTGATGCTCAAAGCGTAACATTGGAAATGTTAATGTATCCACTTAAAATTGACGGTGGATTTGACTGGTATTCCTGTCTCTTCGAAAAAGAAATGTACGGCACTTTATATAAGCGAATAAATCTACTGGGCTTGACAGAAATTATCATTCTCGAGATTGATAATTTTATCAAATTCACGCCAAATTACAGAGGGCTCAAATAGCATGTGCCACCGCATTCTCGAATATAATAATTTCCAAACGTTTTGATTTATCATTGATTGAATGCTGCCAAAGCTGCAATTCCACCTCGATCAGAGGCTAACCTTGTTATTAAATCGTGTAGAACCATGTACAACACTGCCTTATACTGAAACCCAGTAAGGCGAAATGAATCGCAACAAAAAGGAACCATTTCTTTGATTCAAATACTCTAAATCAACTAAATCAACTATACAGAAAAACATGTGGGTCGAGCTCGGTGATTCTTCCTTCCTATATATATTTTCCTAAAAGTTTCTTCGGAAATCCGCTCCACTATATTGTTTGTACAGATTTTTAATCTTAAAACATTACCAAATCATATAACACTGGTGTTGCATAAGCGTGTTCTTGAATGGCAATCCATCTTTGGGAGATGGATGAGGCATTCGATAGGACCACGCAAGAACGACGGTAGCGTTGACGAAAAACATCCCTACCCAACGCTTCCCAGGTCTCCAACCCAATTCCCATACTCATCTGTTTCCTACTTTCATTTTTCTTTTCCCCAAAACATACCTAAAATGGCCGGACTGGTCTCCTAGGAGTTTATATTCGTTTTGAGATGGACGGTGGGAAGATTTTTGTTTGTCTATTCCATTAAAATAGAAGGCATTTTTATTGTGCCTCTCATTTGTGAGGTACTCTCCTATTATTCTCTGATATTTCCAATGCCTCTTCCAATTCTTATCTCACTTGTTTCTTTAATATTCTCGATGTGAATGAGGCGTATAGCAGGCGCGATATGATCTGCTCATATTTGCAATTGCCTATCTTCGCTTTTCAGTGACGACTGTTTTTTTGTCTGTATTTAGAAACAGCAAAATTCTTTTAAAAGTATAATGATCATCAAAAATTGAAGATTTGAGTGGGATAAGAAAGAAGATACAATGGTTATGGCGAAAATTTGAAGAAAAGGCTCCATTAACTAAATTTTATGCTTTCACAAGAATTCGGAGTAGGTTTAAGTTAAAGAAAATTTTATCTTTTCAAAACATACAATTTTGACATCGACGTTAATGGATTTCTAGTTATAAGTAATATAGGTAATTAATTGTATCATTAATTATTATTTTTATTTCCTTGCGTTACATTGTAACTTAATCAAGATTTTATATTTCTTTGGCAATTTTCGATATAATAAGTTGCTAATAAGTCAAGTTCTAATGCGCCTAAGTATATGATAAGCTGCCAATAGATTATGAATTATTCATAAATTAAATTATATGTTATGAATGTGCAATATATCAAAATTATCACTTTATCGCTGAGTCCACGACAAATTGTTTTCAAAATAATACCCGCTCGTCAAGAAATATGTCCAAATAGTGAAGATTCCAATACAATTTTTTATTTACTCAGAATCTTATATTCTATTACACCAGAAATGTGCAATATTACTATCGCGCATCACTGTTTCTTATAAACCAGCACCGCTTTATTAAAACTTAATGCTGAAAGAAAAGTACAAGACCAAAATAAAACTTCGATATCCTAGCACTAAAACGAGTCAAACAACTTGTTTGTAAGCACCATTATAAGAAAGAGTGAAAGCAAAAAATACACATTAAAATGCTTAAAACTTACCTATATTTAAATAAATTCAAGTTAATTTATAAATAACGCCTATTGTTACGATTCTGTTTATTTCTGCAGTAAATTAATTATTTAATATTTTTGACGTTCAGCTTACAATAATTATTCTAACTTAGACGCACTTAATACAAAATTTAGGAATTTTGACAATTTTAATTTCATTTAAAAAATGGATTTCGATTGATTCAATGCTCTCCAAAGAATTTAACAGTTTAAATTAAGTATTCATTGACAAGAAAATAGCAATAGTAGTGAATTATTTATAAGTAAAAATTAATAATAATAGAAAATAATAATAAATAATTTTGTAGATCATTCAATTTATAATTTAAACTTCCACTAAATATATACAGAAATAAATGATTTCCTATATTGTTGACCCTACTTGGAAAAATGTCCTAAACTGAGTTGCACGCTGAATTAGAAGAATAGGTGGAGATAAATGATTGTTCATTGGCCCAAACCATTGGCACAGCTGATTTAATTCCACTATTTGAAGATTTCTAACAAAAAATTTCTTAATATGAAGATTCTGTTTACGAAAATAGCATTCTTTTCTCGGCTGCTTGTTTAATATTTGTTCTTTTTTCAAATACTTTCGAAAAAAATTCCATTTGACAACACTGCACTGAACCTCTTTATTACGCAAGGTAGATATACGTAAATAATTATCTTCGAGTCGAATTTTGAGTAATTAAAGGGTCTAAAAGAACTCTTATTTCTAGGCCGACGATCTTTCTTGATCTTCCTTGCAATTAATATTAATTCCAGCTGGTGCGACAATTTTCTCAACAAGAATCCTATCAGTAATGGTAGTTTTATCTTCTACAGGTTTTCCTGAAATATTTATACCAGCTAAACTTCGATTTACTTTTTTTTCAAAATA